TCTATTGGTGTCCTCAATTTTATAGAGGTTAGCCACCCGAAGTCAATAAGAGACAAAGAAATAATCCAAGCAGCCACCACTATCTAGCCTGACCGTGGTAAATTCTAACGGGGGACCTTAAATTTTATAGAATAATAATAATACAGGCAACTAACCAACCACTACCGGGCCGCCTAACCTAACCACTACTTTCGCCGGAGGTTTCGTCACGCTCCCCGATGGCGAAATCCTCCATTACAGCAAAAGTGTCTGTTTAACCTAACCTTAGTACAAAGTCTATTGGTGTCCTCAATTTTATAGAGGTTAGCCAACCGAAGTCAATAAGAGACAAAGAATAATCCAAGCAGCTAAACTGGTAGCCTGACCGTAGTAAAGTCTAACAGGGGACCTTAAATTTTATAGAATAATAATAATACAGGCCTTCTTAACCACTACCGGGCCGCCTAACTAACTTTTACTTTCGCGGTTTCGTCACGCTCCCCGATGGCGAAATCCTCAATTACAGCAAAAGTGTCTGTTTAACCTAACCTTAGTACAAGGTCTATTGGTGTCCTCAATTTTATAGAGGTTAGCCACCCGAAGTCAATAAGAGACAAAGAAATAATCCAAGCAGCCTAAACTGTTTAGCCTGACCGTGGTAAAGTCTAACGGGGGACCTTAAATTTTATATAATAATAATAATACAGGCAACTACCTAACCACTACCGGGCCGCCTAACCTAACCACTACTTTCGCCGGAGGTTTCGTCACGCTCCCCGATGGCGAAATCCTCCATTACAGCAAAAGTGTCTGTTTAACCTAACCTTAGTACAAAGTCTATTGGTGTCCTCAATTTTATAGAGGTTAGCCACCAGAAGTCAATAAGAGACAGGGAAATAATCCCAAGCAGCCTAAACTGTTTAGCCTGATAGTAGTAAGAGATCTAGCAGGGGGACCTTAAATTTTATATAATAATAATACAGGCAACTAACCAACCACTACCGGGCCGCCTAACCCTAACCACTACCTACTTTCGCGGAGTTTTCGTCCACCTTACCGCTCCCCGATGGCAGGAAATCCTCCGTACAACAAAGTGTCTGTTTAACCTAACCTTAGTACAAAGTCTATTGGTGTCCTCCAATTTTATAGAGTTAGCCACGGAAGTCAATAAGAGACAAAAGAAATAATCCAGCAACCACCACTATCTAGCCTAAACTGTTTAGCCTGGCGTGCGTAGAGTTTTTTAATAAATCTGGTGATATGGAACCACACACAACCCCCCCTTAACCTGGGATAATGCAATCAAATGGATAATTGCTAACTATTCTCCAGAGATAATGCAATCAAATGGTTAGTTGCTAACCGGGGGCTGCGCCCCCGGACCCCCTGTGTTAGATACTGTATTTGGTCATGATGAATTGTTTATTAGACTATAAGAAATCCTCTTCCTTCTTGTATTGGCAAGGGGAGTTTGCTTTAACTTAGGTATGCTAGCCTAAGTAAAATAGACACGGAGCTGCGAAGACCTGATTCTTTTGCTGCATGTTTGAGTCTGCAACTTTGTTGTGATAAGACACTCAATCCTAGTGATTGTACTTACTCAACATAGTGACGGTGTAATTACCATCACAGATTGTACGGGAAATTCCAACTTTGGAAAAAACAAATATTTGGCCTACCCAAATTTTGACTACTACCCGTGCGTCTACGTCCTGGATTGGCCAATCAGTGGTGCCCCACGGTGGCGTGATACATGCACGTTTACTACGGTGCTCTGATTGGCTGACCGAACGTGGCGTGGTAGGTAGGCTGTTTCTACTCTCTAAGTCCTCTTCTTTCCTTTTTTCATCCCCCTCATGCACTCCGTTCTTTGAACGGGAGGCGGGACTTCGCGATACGGTCGATCCGGCAAGGGAACCTGTGATAGTGCAGGGCACCCCTTGTCCGGGGGTCACCGGTAGGTGGCAACTTTTTTAGATATTACTATAGTCACAGGTAACCTGGGTGCAGAGCCCGACGCCCGTCCAAGAGGGGGGGGGCGGGGTCACTGCTCCCAGGCAGGAGCCCTGTGTTATAGGTAGGATTAGATGTAATCAAGAAGATGACAACTAGCATTAGAATAAAACATAGAGATAAGGGACACTCTATTGGAAGGGGAAAAGTGGCAGAAATCACTTACAACAAACTACAAGTCCCACTAACTAGAATATTCAGCACCAATGAAGGTTTTAAAGTAATCTGTAAAGATGACTTTGATTCAGATAAAATCCTTTCAAAAGAAGCAAGAGATATATTTTACAATGAAGGCCTTATTGTTGTCATGCCACCAGAACAAAAAGCAAAAAGATCAGTTTTTGTTCGTCAAGTCGATCAAGAGATCGGGAGGAAGACCTGAAAGAAGAACTGGAACGCCAAAATAGGTGGATGAAGATTGAAGAAGTCATTAAGATAAAGGACTATACTCATGTTTGAAGAAGTGTCAATGGCTGAGAAAGTTTTACAACAGGGCTTTCTAATATTCAACATGTCAGTCACACCATATCAAATAAAGAAGGAGACATTCATCAGTCTGCAAACTTGCTTCTCCTGCTACAAATATGAAGAACACACAACGAGAGACTGTCCGGAAAAAAAAAAAAAGTAC